TATTTTATAATGTTCATTTTGCGTTGTTAAAACCTCCTCTTTTAACAATGTTTACCTTTAATAATAAACTAAGCCCATTGTTTATAACATCGTTTTGAAACATTCTTCTGTGTGTTACCTAAAAAGTTACATATTCATACATTTAGCAATGGGCAATGACGATTGTAAAAACATTTTCCAGTAAAAACCTAATTAGTCGATAAAAGCGTGGAGACCCGACCCATTGCCCAAAACCACCCGGCCCACATCCTTATACCCAAATCAAATGCCAACCTAACCGTCCGCTCCAGTGCTTCGAGTCCTCTAACAAGTTAATTAAATCAGTAACCACTAAATTTTATCTAGGTTACAACTTGCTGATTCTTCGGCTGGTGGTTGATGTAATATGAAAATCAAATAACTTCATGAATTGATGACGCTTGGCTGATTATTGCTGATGATCAAATGATCATCTGATGTATTATCCTAGTTATTGATTTATATTCATGAGCTCTTATATCAATTTTTATATGTGACAATGCAAGGGGGAATTATTTGTTATGGCTGCCTTCGAACGTAGCACAAAAGAGTGTTCAATGCAAGGGGGATTATTTCTCTGTGACAATGCAAGGGGGGAATTATTTATCATGGCTGCCCTCGAACAAAGCACCAAAGAAATCCATACCATTTACCAGGATGATGAATATAGCATGACAGAAAGGCTGAAATTGTACACAACCTATCATTCACGCAGGTTACTGGCAATAACTGATATGCCGAGAGAAAGTCCGAAAGAAAATGCAGGTTACTTATACCAGAACATCTGCTAGGAGGAGGAGAATTGATTCTCCAAGAAAACTTATCTTCAAGAAAAGTTCGACTAATGCACACATTGGTAAAAGCAAGTAGTTGAGATCGGTTGTCAGTCCAGCGCTTCATCAAAATCATATGAAAAACTTTGCAAAAGGGTGTTGCTAGTGAAGAATTACTCATCCATGTGGAAGTAGTTCAACTATCCAAAATAATAGGGACATGGATGGAGAACTTCTGGAATGTGGATTATGAATTTGGGATTGCACCTGGGTTGCCAATTGAANTTCAACTATCCAAAATAATTGGGACGTGGATGGAGAACTTCTGGGATGTGGATTATGAATTTGGGATTGCACCTGGGTTGCCAATTGAAGTAAATAGTTCAAAGATGAACCCTAGGATTTGGAGATGAAGGAGTTCAATATATGGTTTCATCAGGGAATTTCTGATTTAGCCCAGTTAGAGAAGCTGTGGTTTCAGAATGACTATTAGTAGTTTTCACTACGAATATCATTACTCTTTGTCAAATAACAATTTGCAAATGACGTGGAGATGATTCACATTTTCCATCTGCCACATCATTTTTCCATTTGTCAAGTGGAATTTTTGTCCAATTGTACAGGCAGAAATTACATCGATGATGGATGGGAAAATTCTGGATTAGTTCGGTGAGCACTGATTAACTATTTATATTTCAGTGAACAAGTGGTAAGTCATTGTAAAATTCAGTGACTACTCATTTAATTAGCTCGTCGTCTAACACTGGCTACATTAAGCACTCATCTCTTTCTCCACAAAAATCATGCTATCTAAATTTGGTTCAATGTCCCCATTTTTGACACGTTGGCCATGTTTTGAGTGTCATTTTTTTACAAAAAAATGTATTTTAGAATAGTGATTTGATGAGTGAAAAATCACTGAACTTGTACATTGGTCGCAGACAACTCACTGAACTTATGCCGTTTGCACTCCATCCATCACTCGGTAAAATTTGTTAAATCTTTTGTTGACGTGGATGACGAAAATCCAGCGTGGCGATGAATGGCGCGCCACGTCAACAAAAAAATATCCAACTCACATTTCAAATTATTTAAAAAAACACAAAAATTAAATGAAATTCAAAAAGTTATCTGTTGACTTGCTGGCACGATTTTGGAGTGAATGGACACGTTTTTAAACATAAAAAAGAAAAAAAAAATCAAAAACTAAATTCATAAACCCATGACCCGTCATCAAAAACCCCCAAATGAGTTCCAAAACAACTCCAAAATCCCCCAAAGCCCTCAAGAACCCTAGTCCCAAATCTGGATTTTTGCCCCCACAATACACTTGAATCTTGTCTGATCGTGGTTAGAAATTGTCCTTAGAAGTTTTAGCATACACAAGTACATTGCATTAATGGAAAATAAAACAAAAATTTTAGCATCAGAACAGAGTGTCATTCGAATAACTTTCAACAATTTTCGAGTTACTAACTTCAATATTTAACCTGTACTTAAACCTCTCCAAGTCATTTTCAAGTTAAACGCTTCATCAATTGTAAAAAAGTAAAGAATTAGAGGGGAATTATCCTCCAAATTGAATAACATTCACAACTACTAATGTTCATATGTGCATCGATTCCTCAGTGCTTCATCATTAAATGATATCCTCAAAACGACGATTCATTATGCAAGAGATGGATTCAAGGAGTGCCGCTTCACTCGAGCAGGGGAGCACGGAATCTAGAGCTTCTTGAACTATCTCCTCCATCACGGATTCATTCTTCACCGTTTTTCTACACATAATGTTACCTATGGCAAATGAGGTGAGACCCTTCTCAGCACCTTTCTTCAAAAGCATGGTCGAAACGCAAAGTATCCGAGCACACTCAAGAGGCAAGTCCCATCCATAGAACTTAAGCAAGGCAATGTCTTCCTCGGCACCGCCCTTATACATTTTCGACCCAATCATCCGGGGACTTGGTGAGCTCCTGATTTATGGGGGAGTAGAAGAAGATGAAGATATGGATAGGGTTTGGAGAAGATGATGATTTGGGACTAGGGTTCTTGAGGGCTTTGGGGGATTTTGGAGTTGTTTTGGAACTCATTTGGGGGTCTCTTATGATGGGGTATGGGTTTACGAATTTGGTATTTGATGTTTTTTTTTCCTTTTCTATGTTTAAAAACGTGTCCATTCACTCCAAAATCGTGCCAGCAAGTCAACGGATAACTTTTTTGAATTTCATTTAATTTTTGTGTTTTTTTAAATAACTTGAAATGTGAGTTGGATATTTTTTGTTGATGTGGCGCGCCATTCATCATCACGCTGGATTTCTGTCATCCACGTCAGCAAAATATTTAACAGATTTTACCGAGTGATGGATGGAGTGCAAACGGGATAAGTTCAGTGAGTAAGTTGAAGTATTTTGAAGTTCAGTGAGTTGATCGCGACCAATGTACAAGTTCAGCGATTTTTGAAACATTCACTCATCAAATCATTATTCTAAAATACATTTTTTGTAAAATGAGTAATTAAAAAAAGAGGAAAAATTTTGTATTTGCGTTTAATATTATTTTATCGAAAAATGTGTAATTAAAACTTAAAAATAAGAAGAGAAAAATATATTTTTTAAATAATAGGTACAAGGTGCTATATATCGTTTTCCCTCATCACTTGCCCGACTACTAATCGAAGTAGAGAAGTCTTTCCATTTCTGCTTTTGAACGTTGAAGCTTTGAGCATTTCCTTGTGCTGGACCGGCATTCATTCGATTTAGAGATCTACTCGTTCGTTTACCCATTCGATCTCTTTCGAGATAGTGAAGATCGCTGCA